ATTTTGAGACTATCTGTGCTAAACATGAGGACCTGACGTCTTATTCATTCAAAGGCCAATCATCATTGACGTAACAAGTCTCCTAGTGTGCTAAGGACCGGTAATATATTTGTGGCCGTATATATATCATTATATAATAACGATCCATGAAAATATTATATGAATATTCATAGTCCAGTGTGACCCGGATATAAGAGACCCGGATATAAGAGAAACCCTGATATAAGAGAGATTTTCTCTGGTCCCAAATTAGAGCCTGTGTTAATGTATATAAAATAGACCAAACCCGGATATAAGAGAAACCCGGATATAAGAGACTTCTTCTCCGGTCCCGACAACTCTCTTATATCCGGGTTACACTGTAGTATTCATTTATACCAGAAAAATATAATGAATATAATAAAAGTTGCATCATTTTTATTATTTTATATTTTGTAAACAAGTAATTCAGTATTACATGATAAATAAAAAAGTATTAACAAATCAACTAGCAATGTCTTCTAACACAGATATAAACATATGTATATATAAGTAATAATATATGTATATATAAGTAATAAAATGAAAAATTATAATGTATAAAGTATGTTAAAAAAAATTATATTTTAGTTATTTTAAACCCCCAATGCAGTGATTCCCAAACATTTTTTTCTCTGGACCTCATTTTCAGAATGAAAATTTGCTCACATGTCATTGATTTGTGATAAAATGCACATTTAAAAATAAAAACAGAGAGAGGGCTAAAGGGAGATAACTGAAGATTTGAAGTCAGAACATTATCATTGATAACTCTCTCCTCCAATTTGCAGAGTCTAGTTAATATAGTATTAATACTTGATATAATGCAAAAATATCACAGTGATAAAATCTGTCAATAATTATTTAGAACTATTTATATTGGGACTCATGCATGCCATTACAAGTAATCCATAATAATATTCTAAATTTTGAAATCATATTTATTTTTGGCACATGAATTTTTTAAAACTGTTTCTAAATCTTTGATTGTCTTTTAATCATTCTGCTTTATCTGCTATCCCCTTTTGCCTCACCTATGAAGTGTGCCACACCCATTTGGGAACCACTGCCCTAATAAATAAATATATTAAAACAAAAATTTGAAAGAATAGATAACAGTAAATTGAAGACATAATTTTGAAAATATGTTGTAATACTAAAATTTGAAATTGATGATTATTAACACAGCCTTAACCTTTAATAATGTGAAGAATGAGCCTGCTTTTTAAAGGGTGTTTAATTAAGACAGATTATATATATAAGGGGGTTTCATTAAGACGGATCAAAGTCAGCAGTAAATAAATCAGTGTTATTTATAAAAACTTATTTATTTCTCTTTTGGATCATGTTATTTAAGTCATAGCAATTATAGGTGAAAAATAATATCGCCCAAATGTCTGCCAAATCTGAAAGAAAAAAAAAATCATTAGATGCTTAAATTTAATTCACATTTAAGATCAAAATGTTATTGGTACTCCCCTTATCAAGTCATGGCTCAAGAACAGTGGCTACCACAATGGAGAATGAATACTGATACAATTCCTGTATTTTGTCTTAATGATACTCATTGTTGAGAAGCCAGTCTCATGGAGGTTGTTTGAAAGAAAAGGGAGAAGATTATTCAGATCAAGACATTCACGTTTATCCAAAAGGAAGGAAGTGATGTTGAAGTTTTCAAACTTATCTTCATTCCTTCATCAGCAGCCAGCTTTATCCTTCATTGTGACACTTAAGACAAAGTCATCTTTCAGTGGCATAAATGGATTTCAGATTCATCCAGTCCGTTTCCAAGGATCTTCTGCTGAAAGTGCTGAAAAAGATCTGCCAAATCATTCTTTAATGACATTTCATAGACGTACAACATTAAGGTCTTCATCTGCATCAGCAGTGACTGTTACCAATTGGTGAAACATATAATAATCTCTTGACATTCAACTCTTCCATGCTTCTAGTGTCTGTGTTTGCCAACCGATCTTGTCTGCCTTTGCAAAACCCAAAGCCATCCTTCCCTGCAGGGAGGTATTGAGATTATTAAAGATGGCAAAGATATCAGCCAAAGAAGCCAGATAATTGTGACCAGTTGGGTTTTTGGTCCTGAAGAAAACTGGCAAGTTTGTTTCAAAGCTCAAATACATGACTGGACTTTTCCCTCATTAATCAACATACATTGGCATGGAATATGATCAGTGCTCATATAATTCAGTAAATAACCTTGAATTTAAAGTATTTGCTTTTTACATGGTTCATAATTTTCACAGCCTTACTGAACACATTATTCAGTTCTGTTGAGATCATGATTGCATTGTCATACATATTTCACTTAACTGTTTTGCAGTTCGTTATATTGCATTCATTACAACACATTCATTACAACACATTTATTATTCCACATTCATTACATCCCATTCATTACATCCCATTCATTACATCCCATTCATTACAACACATTCATTACATCCCATTCATTACAACACATTCATTACATCTCATTTATTACAACACATTCATTACATCTCATTCAATACAACACATTTATTACAACACATTCTTTACATCTCATACATTACAACATATTCATTACATCTCATTCATTACAACACATTCATTACATCTCATACATTACAACATATTCATTACATCTCATTCATTACAACACATTCATTACATCCCATTCATTACAACACATTCATTACATCACATTTATTACAACACATTCATTACATCTCATTCAATACAACACATTTATTACAACACATTCTTTTACATCTCTCATTACAACACATATTACATTACAACATATTCATTACATCCATTCATTACATCCCATTCATTACATCCCATTCATTCATTACATCCCATTCATTACAACACATTCATTACATCCCATTCATTACAACACATTCATTACATCTCATTCATTACAACACATTCATTACATCCCATTCATTACAACACATTCATTACATCCCATTCATTACAACACATTCATTACATCCCATTCATTACAACACATTCATTACATCCCATTCATTACAACACATATTCATTACATCCCATTCATTTACACATTCATTACATCCCATTCATTACAACACATTCATTACATCCCATTCATTACAACACATTCATTACAACACATTCATTACATTCATTATATCCATTCATTACAACACATTCATTACATCCCATTCATTACAACACATTCATTACATCCCATTTATTACAACACATTCATTACATCCCATTCATTACATCACATTCATTACATCCCATTCATTACAACACATTCATTACATCCATTCATTACCACATTCATTACATCCCATTCATTACAACACATTCATTTCATTACAACACATTCATTACATCCCATTCATTACAACACATTCATTACATCCCATTCATTACAACACATTCATTACATCCCATTCATTACAACATTCATTACATCCCATTCATTACAACACATTCATTACATCCCATTCATTACAACACATTCATTACATCCCATTCATTACAACACATTCATTACATCCCATTCATTACAAACATTCATTTATCCTATCATTACAACACATTCATTACATCCCATTCATTTAAACACATTCATTACATCCCATTCATTACAACACATTCATTACATCCCATTCATTACAACACATTCATTACATCATTTATTCATTACAATCCACATTCATATCATTACATCCTCATTTATTACAACACATTCATTACATCCCATTCATTACAACACATTCATTACATCATTCATTACAACATTATTACATCCCATTTTATTACACACATTCATTACATCCCATTCATTACAACACATTCATTACATCTCATTCATTACAACACATTCATTACATCCCATTCATTACATCCCATTCATTACAACACATTCATTACATCCCATTCATTACAACACATTCATTACATCCCATTCATTACAACACATTCATTACATCTCATTCATTACAACACATTCATTACATCCCATTCATTACAACACATTCATTACATCCCATTCATTACAACACATTCATTACATCTCATTTATTACAACACATTCATTACATCCCATTCATTACAACACATTCATTACATCCCATTCATTACAACACATTCATTACATCCCATTCATTACAACACATTCATTACATCCCATTTATTACAACACATTCATTACATCCCATTCATTACAACACATTCATTACATCCCATTCATTACAACACATTCATTACATCCCATTCATTACAACACATTCATTACATCTCATTTATTACAACACATTCATTACATCCCATTCATTACAAATAATATCTATTACATTCATTTATTACAACACATCCATTACATCTCATCATAACACATTCTATTACATCCCATTCATTACAACACATTCATTACATCCCATTCATACACCCCATTCATTACAAACATTCATTACATCCCATTCATTACAACACATCCATTTATCCCATCCCATTTCATTACAACACATTCATTACATCCCATTCATTACAACACATTCATTACATCCCATTCATTACATCCCATTCATCTCACAACACATTCATTACATCCCATTCATTACAACACATTCATTACATCCCATTCATTACAAATACATTCATTACATCCCATTCATTACAACATTCATTACATCTCATTTATTACAACACATTCATTACATCCCATTCATTTACAACACATTCATTACATCCCATTCATTACAACACATTCAACATCCCATTCATTACATCTCATTTATTACATCACATTCATTACAACACATTCATTACATCCATTCATACAACAACACATTCATTACATCCCATTCATTACAACACATTCATTACATCCCATTTATTATAAACACATTCATTACATCCCATTCATTACAACACATTCATTACATCCCATTCATTACAACACATTCTTTACATCCCATTCATTACAACACATTCATTACATCCCATTTATTACAACACATTCATTACATCCCATTCATTACAACACATTCATTACATCCCATTCATTACAACACATTCATTACATCCCATTCATTACAACACATTCATTACATCCCATTCATTACAACACATTCATTACATCCCATTCATTTACAACATTCATTACATCCCATTCATTATCCAACACATTCATTACATCTCATTTATTACAACACATTCATTACATCCCATTCATTACAACACATTCATTACATCCCATTCATTTACAACACATTCATTACATCCCATTCATTACAACACATTCATTACATCCCATTCATTATAACACATTCATTACATCTCATTCATTTACAACACATTCATTACATCCCATTCATTTACATTACACATTCATTACACATTCATTCATTTACAACACATTCATTACATCCCATTCATTACAACACATTCATTACATCCATTCATTACAACACATTCATTACATCCCATTCATTACAAAACATCTATTACATCCCATTCATTACAACACATTCATTACATCCCATTTATTACAACACATTCATTACATCCCATTCATTTACAACACATTCATTACATCCCATTCATTACAACACATCTATTACATCCCATTCATTACAACACATTCATTACATCCATTATTCATTATAACACATTCATTTACATCTCATTCATTATCAACACATTCATTACATCCCATTCATTACAACACATTCATTACATCCCATTCATTACAACACATTCATTACATCCCATTCATTACAACACATTCATTACATCCCATTCATTTACAACACATTCATTACATCCCATTCATTACAACACATTCATTACATCCCATTCATTACAACACATTCATTACATCCATTCATTACAACACATTCATTACATCACATTTATTACAACACATTCATTACATCCCATTCATTACAACACATTCATTACATCCCATTCATTACAACACATTCATTACATCTCATTCATTACAACACATTCATTACATCCATTCAACACAACTATTACATTCATCATTACATCCCATTCATCCATTACAACACATTCATTACATCCCATTCATTACAACACATTCATTACATCTCATTCATTACAACACATTCATTACATCCCATTCATTTACAACATTCATTACATCCCATTCATTACAACACATTCATTTACATCCCATTCATTATGTTACAACATATTCATTACATCTTCATTCATTACAACACATCTATTACATCCCATTCATTACAAACATTCATTACATCCCATTCATTACAACACATTCATTACATTCATTCATTACAACACATTCATTACATCCCATTCATTTACAAACACATTCATTACATCCCATTCATTACAACACATTCATTACATCCCATTCATTACAACACATTCATTACATCCATTCATTACAACACATTCATTACATCCCATTCATTACAACACATTCATTACATCCCATTCATTTACAACACATTCATTACATCCCATTCATTACAACACATTCATTACATCCCATTCATTACAACACATTCATTACATCCCATTCATTACATCCCATTCATTACAACACATTCATTACATCATTCATTTACATCACATTCATTTACATCCCATCATTACATCCATTTCATTACAACACATTCATTACATCCCATTCATTACAACACATTCATTACATCTCATTCATTACATTACAACACATTCATTACATCCCATTTATTACAACACATTCATTACATCCCATTCATTTACAACACATTCATTACATCCCATTCATTACAACACATTCATTACATCCCATTCATTACAACACATTCATTACATCCCATTCATTACAACACATTCATTACATCCCCATTCATTACAACACATTCATTACATCCCATTCATTACAACATATTCATTACATCTCATTCATTACAACACATTCATTACATCCCATTCATTACAACACATTCATTACATCCCATTCATTACAACACATTCATTACATCCCATTCATTACAACACATTCATTATCCATTCATTACAACACATTCATTACATCCATTCATTACAACACATTCATTACATCCCATTCATTACAACACATTCATTACATCCATTCATTACAACACATTCATTACATCCCATTCATTACATCCACATTCATTACATCCATTCATTACATCCATTACATTCATTATTAATACATTCATTACATCCCATTCATTTACAAACACATTCATTTCATCCCATTCATTACAACATTCATTACATCCATTCATTACAACACATTCATTACATCCCATTCATATTTACAACACATTCATTACATCTCATTCATTTACAACACATTCATTCATCCCATTCATTACATACATTCATTACATCATTACATTCATTACATCCCATTCATTTACATCCATTCATTACAACACATCTATTACATCCCATTCATTACAATCCATTCATTACAACACATTCATTACATCACATTCATTTACAAACACATTCATTACATCCCATTCATTACAACACATTCATTACATCCATTCATTACAACACATTCATTACATCCATTCATTACAACACATTCATTACATCCCATTCATTACAAACATTCATTACATCCCATTCATTACATCACATTCATTACATCCCATTCATTACAACACATTTATTACATCCATTCATTACAACACATTCATTACATCTCATTTATTACAACACATTCATTACATCTCAATACATTCACAATTATATTCATTCTTTTACAACATTCATTCATTATATCATTACCATTCATTACAAACATTCATTACATCTCATTTATTTACAACATTCATTACAACACATTCATTACATCCCATTCATTACAACACATTCATTACATCCATTCATTACAACACATTCATTACATCTCATTTATTACAACACATTCATTACATCTCATTCATTTACAACACATTCATTACATCCCATTTATTACATCATGTTCATTCATTACATCTCATTCATTTACAACACATTCATTACAACACATTCTTTACAATCATTCATTTACAACCCATTCATTACATCTCATTCATTACAACACATTCATTACACACATTCATTACATCCTCATTCATTACAACATTTATTCTTTACATCACATTCATTACAACACATTCATTTACATTCATTTCATTCATTACAACATTCATTTACATCCATTCATTACAACACATTCATTACATCACATTCATTACAACATATTCATCATAAATACATTCATTACAACATTCATATATTACAAAACATATCTATTACATCCCATTCATTTAACACATTCATTACATCCCATTCATTACAACACATTCATTACATCCATTCATTACAACACATTCATTACATATCTCATTTATTACATCACATTCATTACATCCTATTCATTATATCTCATTCATTACATCCATTCATTACATCCCATTCATTACAACACATTCATTACATCACATTTATTATATCCCACATCATTACATCTCATTCAATACAACACATTTATTACAACACATTCTTTACATCTCATATATTACAACATATTCATTACATCTCATTTTCAACACATTCATTTATTACAACACATTCATTATTCATTCAACACCATTCATTTACAACACATTCATTACATCCCATTCATTACAACACATTCATTACATACATTACAACACATTCATTACATCCATTCCATACATCCATTTCATACATCATTCATTACATCCCATTCATTTAACATTACATTCATTACATCCCATTCATTACAACACATTCATTACATCACATTCTATTACATCCCCATACAACACATTCATTACAACTCATTCATTACATCACATTTCATTTACAACATTCATTACATCACATTCATTACAACATATTCATTACATCCCATTCATTATAAACACATTCATTACATCCCATTCATTTACAACACATTCATTACATCCCATTTATTACAACACATTCATTACATCACATTTATTACATCTCATTCAATACAACATTCATTACAACACATTCATTACAACACATTTATTACAACACATTCATTTTACATCACATTCATTACAACATTCATACAACACATCTTTACATCCCATTCATTACAACACATCTATTACATCCATTCATTACATCAACATTCTTTACATCTCATTCATTACAACACATTCATTACATCCATTCATTACAACACATTCATTACATCATTCATTCATTACAACACATTCATTACATCCCATACATTACAACACATTCATTACATCCCATTCATTACAACACACATCTCTTTCATCCCATACATTACAACATTCTTCCATTACATCCATTTATTACAAGC